ATAACCGTTTTATGTATCAGTTTCAAATCCTAACGGTTTTCAGAAGTTATGTTTTCGCGGTAACCCCCGAATCAGTTTTCGCAAATTAAGAAGTGAGTTTATTTATTTATTATTTATTCAGAAAATTTGCGAAAAACCGCGTACTCTGATGTATTAGTCAGACGGGGCGTTACACAGAAAGTTTTGAGAAAACCTGAACACGTCATGCTCACTCCTCGCCGACTACAGGTAAGTGCTGATTTATGTTTTCAAATTATAAACAAGTACTCATTCTATGCTCAGAAATTTTCAGATATAAATTAGTTAAGATGCTAGAATCATGTTCAGGACCAGTAGTCAGGATATCAGTCAGTATTTTTCCAAGTCATGTTTAGCAACTCGTCAAGAGATCTGTGTGCTTTAATCATCAGTTAAAGTATTTCATTGAATATTAATCATGTTGAACCTTTTCAATGATCAGATGCCGCCCCGTAGAGAACCCGACCGTCCTGTTGTTTCTCAGGCCACGACAGTCGCACAGTTTCGCGACTATCATCCTGAGAAGTTCTCCGGTCAGGAAGATCCATGTATCGTTGATGAGTGGGTTCAGGGCCTTGAATTGATTTTCGAGGTCATGGACTGTCCAGATCGCTATCGCGTTACTTGCGCACAGCTTCGGTTGACCGGTGATGCCCGACTCTGGTGGAATGCCTACTGGAGCATGCGTCCCGGCGAGAAAGAAGGTTGTACTTGGGACTGATTCAAGGAGATGATCTGAGAGAAGTACTATCCCACGTACTACCGAGCTGAGATGGAGCGGCAGTTCCTGTCGCTCAGACAGGGTACTCGTACTGTTGATGAGTACGAGAGAGAGTTTACCAGACTTTGAGCTTTTGTTCCAGATTTGGTGCTTACTGAGGCACAGCGAGCACAGTGTTTCACTGACGGGCTTTTCCCAGCAGTCCGTCACAATATTGTAGGTCACGGACTCTAGACCTACGCTCGTACGGTTTCCATTGCCCAGGAGGTGGATGCCAGCATTCGGAGGGAGGCTAACCGTGATCGTATTCAACCAGTTAGCCCAGGACAGTCATCTACAGCTCCGCCAGTTCCACCGACTACTGCCCAGCCACCGAAAGGCCAGAAGAGGAAAGGTAAAGGTGCCCAGACGGATAGGAAGACCCGACAGAGGTTTCAGCAGATTCCACAGTGCCCCACTTGCGGACGACATCATCGCGGAGAGTGTTATATGGGCCAGGATATTTGTTACTACTGCCACGAGCCCGGACATTTCGCTAACCGCTGTCCGAAGAAACTTCAGCAGCAGCCACAACAGTCTCAGTAGCCACAGCAGCAGCAGCAGCCCCGACAGCAGGCTCAGAGGCCACCCCAGCAGCAGGAGAGGGGCAGACAGTAGGCCCGTGTTTATGCGATCGATCAGGTCGAGGCGGAACAACACACAGGTACCATGTCTGGGATGCTTATGCTTAATGATATTCCTGTCTTCGCTTTGTTTGATACCGGAGCGACTCATACTTTTATATCACGACGATGTCTCGATGCCATCGGAGTTCATGTCAGTACCGCTGTCGATCCTCTCGAGGTGATTTTAGCCTTGGGACGAAAGATAGTGACTTCAGCCAGAGCCACAGGCCTCAGTCTTTCTATCGGTGGTCGTATATTGTCTACCGATGCTTATATTCTCAAGATGAGGGACTTTGACCTCACACACGGCATGGATTGGCTAACGCGTTTTCATGCAGATATCTGATGTCATGACCGGGAGATTACCCTTTTTCTTCCGGGATATGATCAGATCACTTTCTTCAGCACTAAGACTCGTTCCTTGCCCCATGTCATTTCTATGGCGAAAGCCAGAAAGATGTTACGACGAGGCAACTGTCAGGGTTATCTCGTCAGTCTTGTCGATGATTCTCCGAAGGCACGCTCACCTCATGGTGTCCCTATTGTTCGGGAGTTTGTGGACGTGCTTCCGGACGAGCTTCCAGGAGGACCGCCTAACCGGCAGGTGGAGTTCTCCATTGATCTTATTCCAGGAGCCGGTCCAGTTTCTAAATCACCCTACCGTATGGCGCCGAAGGAGTTGCAGGAGCTTAAGGCACAAATTCAGGAGTTATTACGACTCGGTTTCATTCGGCCGAGCGTTTCACCTTGGGGAGCACCCGTTCTCTTTGTCAAGAAGAAGGACGGATCCATGCGCATGTGTATCGACTACCAGGAGCTGAACCGGTTGACGATCAAGAATAAGTATCTGCTTCCCAAGATCGACAATTTATTTGATCAGCTGAGGGGAGCTTGTGTTTTCTCTAAGATTGATTTGGGATCAGGCTACCATCAGCTGAAAATCAAGGAGTCAGACATTCCCAAGACTGCTTTCCGTACTCGTTACGGTCATTACGAGTTCATTGTCATGCCTTTTGGTCTCAGCAATGCCCCTGCCGTATTCATGGATTTGATGAACCGTATTTTCCATCCCTATCTCGATCAGTTTTTCATTGTTTTCATTGATGATATCCTTATCTACTCAAACATCCAGAAGGAACATGAGGAGCATCTTAGGGTTGTTCTTGAGACCCTTAGACGAGAAAAGTTAGATGCAAAATTCTCCAAGTGCGAGTTCTGGCTCCGATGAGTAGCTTTTCTTGGTCATGTGATTACGCAGGCAGGTATTGAGGTTGATCCTTCCAAGGTTGCAGCCGTTCAGAACTGGTCGACATCGAAGAGTCCATCCGAGGTTCGCAGTTTTCTCGGGTTGGCTGGTTATTGCCGCAGATTCATAGAGGGCTTTTCCAAGATTGCTCTTCCTTTATGCCAGCTGACGAGGAAGTCTGTGGAGTTCGAGTGGACTGATCGTTGTGAAGCGAGCTTTTTAGGAGCTCAAGAGGAGATTGACTTCAGCACCGGTGTTGACTATTCCCGATCCTTCCCGGAGTTTCACCATCTTTAGTGATGCTTCGAGACAGGGTTTGGGATGTGTCCTTATGCAGGATGGCCAGGTCATTGCTTATGCTTCACGCCAGCTAAAGCCACACGAACAGAACTATCCGACACACGACTTGGAGTTAGCTGCAGTGGTTCATGCCCTTAAGATTTGGCGACAATATTTGTACGGCGGTCGATGCGATATTTTCACCAATCATAAGAGCTTGCAGTACATTTTCACTCAGAAGGAGCTCAGCATGAGACAGCGCCGTTGGTTAGAACTGGTCAAGGATTATGATTGCACGATTCAGTACCATCCGGGAAAGGCGAATGTTGTTGCTGATGCCCTAAGCCGTAAGGTGAAGGGTGACTTGACGTACGTTGTTACTCAGCAGAGCCAGTTGATTCAGGAGTTTGCCCGGATGCAGATTCAGGTGGTCGATGCACTCCCTACAATTGTCACGGGGAGTGTCAGTTCCATGCAAGTTCAGCCGACGCTGAGGGAGAGAATCCGGCGAGAGCAGGCTTTAGATGAGTTTATTCAGGCGATTGATGCCAAAGTTCGAGCCGGAGGCGTCGAGGGTTTTCAGAGAGGTACTGACGGTGCCTTAGAGTTCAGAGGCAGGATTGTGGTGCCGAAAGTCGAGACGTTGCGGAAGGAGATCTTGACAGAGTCTCATACTGCACCATATCTAGCCCATCCAGGAAGTACAAAGATGTATCATGACCTGAAAAGGTCGTTCTGGTAGAGAGGTTTGAAGAAAGACGTAGCCGATTTTTTCAGAAAGTGTTTAACCTGTCAGCAAGTCAAAGCCGAGCATCAGAGTCCCATAGGCCTTCTACGACCACTGCCGATTGAAAGTGGGAGGAGGTTTCGATGGATTTCGTTACGGGTTTACCGAGGTCGTCTGAACATCACGACGCTATTTGGGTCGTGGTCGACAGATTGACTAAGGTGGCTCATTTCTTGCCAGTATCGATGAGTATGTCTTTGGACAGGTTGGCTGAAATTTATACCCGTGGGATTATCCGACTCCACGGCGTGCCCGTTACTATCATGTCAGATCGAGATCCTAGATTCACTAGCAGATTCTGGCAGAGTTTGCACAAGGCGATGGGCACGAGATTAGCATTCAGTTCAGCCTATCACCCAGAGACTGACGGTCAGACAGAGAGGACCATTCAGATGTTAGAGGATATGTTGCGAGCTTTGGTTGTTGACAGGGGTGCTAAGTGGAAGTTGTTGCTGCCGTACGCCGAGTTTGCGTACAACAACAGTTATCATTCTGCTATTCAGATGGCTCCTTACGAGGCACTTTACGGTCGTAAGTGTCGTTCCCCTCTT